CCCAATTCTCAACACTACGAGCTGCTCTGGCGCCATAGTGGCATGGTTATTGTGGAACAACCAACCATTTTCTGATTGAATTTACGTCCTGCTCAACAAGATGAAATCCATATCTGGCACCAGTGTCACACCAAGAACCTGTGTTTAGTCAGGTCATAGACAAAGAATAAGAGATCATGAGATACTTAGCTCTAAATGGGATGTCTCATACCACAATTCCTCCTCCCAAGGCTCTGGAATCATTTTTAAAGAGCGGGTAGATGGATAAAAAGAAATAGTGTCTTCCTAATACAGCAAGGTAGTTGCAAATATAAGCCACAGCAACTTTAGCAGCACAAGCCCTGTGAAAGAGTTCTTTCTGTAATTGGCTACCGAGTACTATGTTTTAGCTTGGCCTCTTCCTTGCTTTGATTACTTTAAAGCATATAACATATGAGTTATAGATATAAAGACATATCCAACCATCATCAGGCAGTATCCAGAGACTGTAAATACATTGGCCTTTACGAGTACCAGGAGTCATCCCTGAAAACGTTATATACACACAACCCTGAGTGGACCCAGCAGGCTTTGTTTATATGTTTGGATATATAATATGCATTAATGTGTAACAAGAAAAATTAGAAAAAAGGAGGTCATGAATTTAAGAAGGAGTAATGAAGGGACACTCAGGAGGGATTGAAGGAAAGGAAGATTTTATGATTATGTTTTAATTTAAGAAATAAGAATTAAAAGTAAAAAGAGTGTTGCCGCTAGTAGGTTGACGCCTAGGAAGTTGACTGCACTTCAGTGGAAGGTTACACATGCATGCATATATGAGAAGCACAAATTGGACCTGGTAGGTAAAGTACAAAGAGGATACAAATTTGCACGGGTAGGGAAAGAAGGATGGATCTGGGAGGAGTGGGTTGGGCAGTGAATATGATCAAAACACACTGCCCAAATTCTCAAAGAACTAACTTAAAAAAAAAAGAAATACAAAGTTTCAAAGGCTCCTAAAGAATTTTTAACTGTTTCTGTAATTCCATGTGTCTTCAAGACACACATGTACACAAACCTCCAAAGCAAGCTTCCTGAACAAGATCAGTGTAGAAGTTAGGGAGGTTGATCATTAATAGTCATGTGTTATTCCCTTCTATGACAGGAGCTGAGATATTCCACACTGATGATGGCTATGACTCCATCATGTATACCAAAATGGTGGGTTAGCTCTCCTCGACTTTGCCCAGTACTAAAGGCCAATGTATTTACAGTCTCTGGATACTGCCTGATGATGGTAGGATATGTCTTTATATCTATAACAACTCATATGTTATATGCTTTAAAGTAATCAAAGCAAGGAAGAAGCCAAGCTAAAACAGCAAATCCAGCATGTTAGCGATGGTGCCCTCAGAAAGTCCCCGTGGCTGAGACAGCAGCATTCTGTGGAATGAGTATGTTCAGAAGATACAAGAGTGAGACTTGTCACAAACGTGAACATTGAATAAATGGGACTTACTGAAACTGAGAAGCTTCTGTAAAGCAAAGGACACTGTCACTAAGACAAAAAGGCAACCTACTGACTGGGAGAAGATCTTCACCAACCCCACAACAGACAAAGGTCTGATCTCCAAAATATATAAAGAACTCAAGAAACTAGACTGTAAAATGCTAATTAACCCA